GCGATAGTATAGTTTAATTTGGTATATGTGGCTTTTTTTAAATAATTAACAGAGCATTATTATTTCAGTGTATAGATGAAAAAGCCTGCTGTGGCGGATGTTGCATGAATGGCATATGTAAAGATAGTAAGTATTTAAAAGTTAAATTCCTTTTACACTTGTTTTATGAAGTTATCTATATATCATAGAGTGTTAGGTCTTATATTATAGTCGGGTATTAAAATCGATTGCTTTTAATTAATAACACTTAAATTTCTGAGCACAAGTCCAAATTATGCAAAATAAAAAGTAAATCAAATTGGTTACCAACTAAATGATAGGTATCTGTAGGTCAGTAGTTTTAGCGTTTACTATCTTATCTCTAAAAAACTTGATTCATTTATTTCTACTCCCTTTTAAGTTTTAATTTGTTCAGTCCTGATTTTATAAAAAATTTAAACTTTTTGTTCGTAACTTGTTTAGTTTGTTCATAACCTGTTTTGTTATTGTTTTATGTAAATTCAAATATTATTTTTGGTCCCTCCAGCCTTAGGTAGGCCCCTCTAGTTTGGTTTCGTTTGTTAAGCGTTAAAATAAAAATATAATCTGTGGGACATACTTTTTTATATATATTTTACAGTAAATTTTTAATTTTGTTAAAATTGCGTAGCTTATCCATAATGGGTATGTCATGGTAAGTGAAATTATTTTTAACCTCCCCTTATATTCTTGGTTTTAAAAATTGTTTTGTTTTTTTCATTTCTGTATTACATAATTTTCGACTTTCCATTTAGGTGTGCCTGATGATGAAGTAATCCCTTTGGAACCGGTCGTCAATAAATTGACTTTCTGAGAAATAAAAGACTTTTCTTTAAATCTTCGTACTTAATGTTTGTTGTGTTGTTCTTATATTGAGTTCAAAGTTTAAGAAAATAAAATAAAGCCAGTTATTAAAAACAATTCTTTTCATTTCTACATCATTCTCGACACCATTAAAATATTCTATATAATTGACTACAGTGCACGCTTTACTTAATATGAGGAAATCTAACGTTACTAGCGTTTTTTGTTTGTTGCTTACTAATTATTATAATTCCTTTTTTCTAAACTTGAATTACATACTAGAATTATTTAAAATAGGTAAGGTACTCATACTCGTTACTCGATTTTTCACGAGTACTTTCTATAATTTACAAAAGACCTCATTTGCTTTAAGAATTATTTATATAAGAACTCATACTCAGATATTTATGAGAACTTTGTAAAGCTACTCATCGTAATGTACTGGAGTACTTTAACGCAGTACTCTGCCCAGCTTTGACAAGGAATTACTCTCTCAATTGTCCGGTTGCAATTTGAAATAAAAAGCTAAATTCTAACCTACCATATGTAATACTGGTAAAACGATTGAATTCAGAAACTTTAAGTTTTGACAATGATTTACAACGGTATCATTTACAACGAAATTATTATAAAGATAATCGGATTATTTTTGGTTGGTTTAAGGGTGAAGTATAAGAACCTTTAACTCATGCAGAACTAGACTATGTATGCACTTAATAAAAGAATGAATACCAGTCCTGGTTATGATGAAATCAAATATCCTATGATCCGACATCTCCACAGTATTGCCAAAGACATGTTACTGGACATTTTTAAGGATATTCTTTCAACACCAAAAATAAATCAATTTAAGGAAGTTGTTGTCATTCCAATTCTTAAACCAGAAAAAGATTTAAACCTCGCACAATCCTATCGGCCTATCTCTTTTACGTCCTGCATTCTTAAAACCTTAGAACGAATGATAAAACACCGATTAGAATGGTGGCTCTCTAGTAAAAATCTTTTACCAAAGTCTCAATTTGGTTTTAGGAAAGGATATGGCACATTAGATGCACTCACCGCTCTTATCACTGGTATTCAGCATACTCTTTCCAATAACAAATATTTTCCAACATTATCTATTGATACAGAAGTTGATAGCGTCTGCTTAACAGTATTAAAAAATAAGATGATTAACTTATTCCACATACCTCCCCAACTTGCGGAAACAATTGTTGATTTTTATACACAAAGAAAGTTGTACATAAGAACACATAATAATAAAATTATAGGAACGAGATATAATAGTTCTGGCATTCCACAGGGTTCAGTATTGAGCCCCTTGCTGTTTTATATATATATACTGCCGATTTTTACGAAATCTATATCAAAAATCCATCTTTCAAAACAATACAGTATGCTGATGATTTTTTTTATATATACCGAATCTAAAAAATGTGATTCTTGTTTACAATCTTTGGAAAAACAGCATAAATACTCTTCTAATTGGTTTATAATTAACGGTTTTCTAATGTCACTCAGTAAATCTAATGTCTGCATTTTTTCTCGACAAAATGTCCTAAATATCGAAAAACTAAAATTAAACGGTAACGATTTCCCTTTCTGCAAATCAATTGAATATTTAGGAATGGTTCTTGGTAAAAAATTGACCTGGAAACTACATATTGATCATATGCTAAATAGTTGCAATAGGGGTTTAAATTTTTTGAAATCGATATCGAAAACCTGCTGGGGAGCGGATGTCGAAACTTCTTTGTTATTTTATCGATCGTGCATTAGGTCCATTTTAGATTATGGATGTATACTTTATGGATCAGCAAGTAATCACATTTTAAAAAGAATTTATGTCTTTCAAAATACGGTACTTCACATTTGTCTAGGTGCTATGAAATCAACCCCTATCATGCCACTACATGTCAAAGCATTAGATCCTCCATTATCTTATAGAAGAGAATATCTCAGCAACAAATTTCTAATAAAAGTCCGATGTACAAACCCTACCTTGTATGCTAGTATTTGTAAGTGCCTAGATTTTTAGGATTTCTTTGCCTTTTTTAACAATGTTAATGTTATACAACCAATTTATCATGAAAATCATAAAATAAGTTCCAATATTTTGAACTCACAACTAGAAAACTGGCCTGATTCAACAAAGATCTACACAGATGCTTCCAAAACTTCAACTTGTACAGGATGTGCCTTTTTCATCTCTACATCTACAGAGAACGTTTTTAAATTACCATCAAATTTTTCAATATTTAGTGCAGAAGCAATTGCTATATATAAAGCTATAAAATACTTTAAAATATCTAATAATAATACTGCAGTTATTTTATCTGATTCTCTATTTGTATTACTTGCTATTCAAAGATCAAAGCTTCCTTCCTATTCATTAAATGCTAACATTTTGCCCATTAAAAAGATACTATTCAAAATCCATAATACATCAAAAACGGTTCAATTAATATGGGTTAAAGCACATATAGGGCTCAATCATAAATTTTTTGGCTAAAAGCGCAACTACGAATGGCTCACCGACAAATTATCAGCTGTGCAATTTGGATGCTTTTGAAATTGAGAAACAACGTCAAAATAAAAAGTAGAGAAAATCTTGGACAGACTTTTGCAAAACCACTACAACTCAATATTCAAAAATACAACAAAAAATTCCGAATGTGCATCGGTTTAAAAACTAGTCACTTCCTCGAAAGTATATCACAACTATCATTAGATTGAAATTTGGACATGCATGTTATCCAGCACATTTATTCAAAATCCATGTTATAGATTCAGGGATATGTACAATGTGTAAAGAGAAAGGTAACCTACATCATATTTTCTTTAGTTGTGCAAACTATACCCAACAATCTCAAGATCTGATACAAGATCTATTTAAAAATAATATATTTCCTCCATTTAACATTTGCCATCTCCTCACACTTAATAAAAAAAAAAAAATAAGACCTCTTGATAAAATTTGTGTATGAAAGATATTACAACCTATGTTTTAACCCAATTGTTATATACCTACCTTACAGTGTCCTAGTTTTGTGTGTCAAAAAAAAATGTCTTAACGGGTCTCTAGACAAAAAGAAATGTTTTCCCTTGTTTATTCCTTGCTTGCCTTATCTTCTTTCATATATTTTTCTTCTTTTCTTGCTTAGGACAAAAGTGTTTATGATTGAGTGTATGTATTTAGAGTGATAATGCAATTTAAACTTATATATATATTTCGTGACTGGCTGAATGGCAAGTGCCCAAGCCATAAAAAAAATGAATTAATATAAAAACTTATTTTTTAGCGTATGCAGATTGCCGAGTAAAATCAAGTCCATGTCGAAACCATTATTGTCCGCCTGATCAGGAATGCTACGTTTACGAACCCCATGGTTGCAAAGGTTGTGGACCTTCAGTGCAATGTCGACTTTCCCCTCCAACACCAATTGAGTATATACAAACAACTCCTGATACGACGACAATAGAAAATAATTTTGGAGAAAAAGTATGCTTTAAAATCGAAATAATAGTAGGTTTCTTGATTATATTGTTTAATTTTATATACTGATACCTATCCATAAAATAAATAATAAAAAGTATTTTTAAAAATTGTGTTGTCTATAATTTTACCAAAGTTTCGTCCAATTTAAATTATTTTTTTACGATACACTCACGTTACAGGATTGCCAAAAGACTTTAGCTAAAGCGACCGAAAACGGTCTCTTTACGTCTGAACACATGTATTTAAATGAAACACATTTGGGAGAGCGCGGCAGATGAAAAAGACGTGACACCACTTTTAACACGGCAATATTTGCTGCCTTGCTGCTGTCGTTTGTCATCTGCCTCGGTTTCGTGTTCCCGAATGGTACCTTTAGGGAACCAATATTTCTGAAAAGTGTTCAATACCCGAGAAACTTGTCCACAATTTTGTAATAGACAGTTCGTTCTTCATTTTTTTGTGGAATATAAAAGTATATCTAATATCAATTTTTAAAAGGTACTAATAAACTATCTTGCCTTGCCTTTAACTTCTCAGAGTAGTAGAAATTAAGCTAGCAGCCACTATTAGCGGTTCACTGCTACAGTTAGCACAAACCTCTAATGCTTTAGGAGCCAACTGGGATAGTAAAAAAAAAAAAACAAATGTAACATGTTTTTTATTTCAATGAATTGTGGTTGCACATCTATAAACTCTAAAAATGTTCTTAGGATAGGAAGTAAACAATACTAATAAGTTATATACCTCGAGTTTGCAGGACAAATGTAAGAAATGAATATGCGGTTTTTAATATCTAAAATAAAAAAAATTCATTAATTTTATTATTTATAAGAAGTTCGCAAATTTATTTGGTGAAAAGTTGGGTTTAATTTTTTTTATATAAATTTTATAAAATATTTCATACAATTTTGAAATAAATACATAAAATCTAGATTTGATTTTAAAAAACTGTATATAATTTACTTTAGGAATTTAATTTTATTACGTATATTTAGAAAAAACGGCAGTAATAATACAGGGTGAGGCACCGAAAACTAAACAGATCGCATATCTTGAAGACATTTTTTTTTTTTTGAGAAAATGCAAAAAGAGGTCGATTTTTATTTCAAAGGGGACATCTTTCGATCATATCCTCAACTATCCTACATCGTCTCCACCCCTCTGTTACTATTACCAATGAAATTGAAATAGGGAAAGTACTAAGTGTGACACATCACTGAAAAGGTAATTTTATAAGGAATTTGACTGTGTGACATGTGACAGTTCAAATAAGCGCATTGTCATGTGAAAGCCAAATTTAAAAATTTAATGCATAATTACTTTTGGAATAAAATTGAACTTACTACGCCTGTTTTCGTAAAATAAAAATAAAGGTTTTTATTTACATAACTACCCGGTCTGTTTTTTAGTTTAGCGTCATTGATACTTCAAGTCTATTAGCGAGTAAAACATAAAAATGGTTTATTCTATTCAGGAGAGAGTAGAAATTGTTGAATGTTATTTAAAAAATAAGGAAAGTGCTAACACTGCCTGTACAATTTTCAATGAGCGACACCCAAACAAACAGGTTAAACGTAAGTACGTTTTGAAACTTATTTCAAAATTTCGACAAACAGGATCTGTTCAAAATAAAAAAACGGCAGATTCAAAATCCAGTAAGAAACGAAGCCGTAGAGGTAGCCGTTTTAGGACAAGTTGTTGCAGATCCAACTCTTAGTACAAGAAAGCTTGCAGAATTATCTGGAGTAAGTGACCGTACCGTCAGGAGAATTTTGAAAGCCAACAAATTCCATCCCTATAAAATTCATTTAGTTAAGGAACTTAAGAGTTATTGCTCCGATGACAATAGCAGGAAATTTGTATTAAAAATAGGAATTCTGTTTTAATCCTAGAAGACACAGTTTTAAAGATAATACCATATGTTTTTTTATGTGCAAAGAGAATAAGTGGCACCAGCCCTGGGTTTTCATACTTTTTTGAAAAAATGGTCCGTTTTGTCTACAAAAAATTATAAAGTTTATTAATTTTGTTTAAAAAAGGACAACTTTTAATAGAGAATTAACCTTATCGAACATGCATTATTTTTCGAACGATTAATGTCAACTTATAGTAAATCTTTTTCTTAATAAGATCAAAAAATAATTTTTAAAATTGGACTTAACATAAAGCCGTAATCATTAAAATAGCAAAGTAATTTCGGATATAAAAATGATTGAAAAATATTATTACGATATCCCCTGTTCGTACCGAAGGATGGGTGCTGTTGCCTTCCTCGTCTACCTAGTATTGAAATTTGTCCAGATACGGAAAGAGGGAAATATTATTACATGAGATAATTTTGTTTTCAATATAAAATTTGCAATGTTTCAATATATTTAAAACATAGTTTAATTAGAAAAAATTAGGTAGAAGAATTATATTTGTATAGTAGGTTTATATTATATTTTCTAAAATAATTCATTTTGCAAAGAATATCAACTAAGCTACTAATATAATAAAATCTATAAATCAGCCTTATAAATAATGTATTTAACAAATGTTTCTTATTATATTAATAATTTACATGTTTTCTGACTTATCTGTGAATGAAACGTGGAGAAAATAGTTTTACTTACAAGTTTTTCCTGATTTTGTTGCTGTCTGCTGTTGTAGTGATCTGATAATTTGTAGACTGTATAATTTTTTACAGAAAGATATTTCCTTGGATGCCCTCTTTTCAGCATATAATAAATAAAGCAAGAAGATGACTTAATATTTTATTTTGTACAAATAATATAAAATATATTAATATGCACCATTTAACGTAACTTATGCTATTAAATAAGAGAATGAAATTCAGAATTATTTATTGACTGAAACTCAAAAAGATATTCTTATAGAAATAATATTTTAAGAACGGAGGGAAAAGAGCCGAAGTGTTTTGTTACTATCCGGCTTTGATTGGTCCGAATTTCATGATGGCTGCCGTTGAATGATGTTATCATATTTTGTTGTTGCTAACTTTGAGATATAAATACATATTTTCTCTTTTTGATGTCAACGATTTTAAAAAGAGTTTTTTCTTTTAAAATAAGTGAATATTATAGAAGGACAAACAAACGCCAAAATTGGCGTAATATATTATGAACAGGGGCGGTTTCTCCATTGTTTCATTTATGCAGTGAACACCCAATTAAATTTCATAAAAACACATTATTTTAATATTACATAAATAACAAAAACTTGCATTGTCTAGGTCTTTCTTTAAAAGCAAAACGTTATTAATAGTGCTAAGACTATTTTCTTTTCTATAAAAAACTGCCTTCGTAACACCGGTATAACTAAATAAATCGCCGATCCATTTCCTATGATAGGGGAAATGTAACGTGACGACCCGTTCTTGAAATTTTGAAGGTAGGAGTATAATAGGAGTAATATGCCGACAAATTAGTTATCATGTACGGAGCAATAACTCTTAACGAAGACGATTTTGATCGCTGCTTGCAATTTTGTGAAATCATGAGCGATCATGCTATACAAGATCCACATTTTCTTTATAACATTTCTTTTTTTCAGATGAATGCAGTTTTTATGTTAACGGGACTGTCAATCGACATAATTTTCGATACTGGTCAGATTCCACTCCAAGAGTATTTCATGAAACGCATAATAAACAACCAGGAAAGTTAAACGTTTGTGCTGGAATATTTGGCGATCGTATTGTTGGTACATTATTTTTACCAGGTACTTTAACAGGGGATATGTATTTGGAATTACTCGAAAACACCGTTGATCCACTGTTAACAGACATAATAGAAAACGATAACCGATACCTTGAAGATCACCTAATATTTCAACAGGACAGGGCTCCTCCACATTTTGCTGCAGCGGTTCGTCAGTACTTAAATGAAAACTTCCCTAGACATTGGATTGGACGAAGAGGATTTATTGAATGGCCCCCACGATCTTCTGATCTGTCCCCCTTAGAATACTTTTTATGGGGATATCTGAAAAGTAAAATATACACCACTCAGCAAGGTTCCTTAAAAGAGTTACGTGAACGCATTATTACCGAATGTCGTCAAATAACTCCAGAAATGCTCCAAAACGTCAAACAAAGATTTGAGAATAATTTATATTCGTGTATGGAAGTTAATGGACAACACTTTGAGCATTTACTTTGAAGTAATTTAGTCTTTAATTATGGGAGTTGTCCTAAATTTTTTAATTTAATTTTTATGTTCACTTTTCTATTATTTTTTTAATTTTTATTATGAATTGTCTATTAAATGAGTTTTACTTTTAAATGTATCATTATTTAAAATACGGAAACTTTTCCCGCAAGATGACGCCAAAATTAAAAAAGTTACGTAATAAACTGTCACACAGTCACACAGTGACAGAGGGGTGGGAAGGGATGTAGGATAGTTGAGGATATGATCGAAAGATGTCCCCTTTGAAATAAAAATCGACCTCTTTTTGCATTTTCTCCAAAAAAAAATGTGTCTTCAAGATATGCGATCTGTTTCGTTTTCGGTGCCTCACCCTGTATATGTTTAATTTTTTTTTTGTCCAAATACCTCGCGCCTAAAAATCCTGGCTCCCAAATATCCTTGCGCCCAAATGTATCTGCGCCCAAATGTATCTACGCCCAAATGTCCTAGACCGCACTCAATTCTATCCTGAGCTCTCTCAATTCTCCTTAAAGCCACCAATGCAATATAGAGTCAATTTTGGGTAAATAACCAAAAGCATTTGGTATTTACCATTTGAGATTGGTAATTACCACAACATTCAAGTGACTTCGGTTATTAACTAGGTAATTATCCGTGACGTCATAAATCAGCTGTTTTTCATCAAAGTTATCCCCAAAATTTTGCGGTGTTTACCTTCCCCCAGAGCTGTTTTTAATTATTGGTTATAGGTAATTGACAGTTACTACCAAAGTGAGTCTTTTGTACCTACTAGTACTATACAAATACAGTATATTAAACCCGATTTTGTGCCTTTTTTAAACATTAAAATCATATTCAAAAACGGTAGAAGATTATTGGATAAGTAAAAATTGCAAAGGGAAAGACTTCAGAGACTAATTTCTTCTTTGGATCTTATTTTTTCTTGCAAGACAATAAACAATATAGTTTAAATAAAAATCTATAACGCGGCGAAAAAGATAGGTTAAATAGAATTGACATTTGAAAATAAACAAACCTACAACGACGGTTATTACCACTTCGTTTAAGCGATTGCCACTTATGACGTCAGTATACTAACCCCTTCCATAAATTCACGCAATAACCAAGAAATTTTGTGGTAAGTACCAAGAAAATTTGGTAGTTCGCTTAAAATTGCTTTAGGTGTGAAAGACGCCTGGGGTAGTATTCTCGAGTCACGAATATAGATTCGCATGCGAGATTTATGATTTGTCTTACTTGGTTTTCGTTCAACAGAGTGAGACACATTGTAAAACACGTATGCGAATGTCGGTATTCGTGATTCGAGAATACTACCCCTGTGCTGGAATAAATCCTAGTGGTCTAAAATATACTTACACCAAAAAATAACTGCCATGACATAGTTGTTAATGTTCCGATCTGCAAACCTGTTCTGACGTTAGTTCTTACAATAAACATATTTAAAAGGTGCTTAAACTTTGGCGATTTGTCGTACCATTTTATATTATATAAAACATCAGTGATAGAAAAGCTCTATAATAATAACAAAAAGTATGTAGATAGTTAATTATAACTTATAAAGGGTTAAATTACTTTTATCATGATTTCATTGGCATACCAATAGTAGATTGCAAGTCTGCCCAAGCTTATAACCCCAAACAAGGATGCGGCTAATTTTGTGGCCAGTTCTGGAATATTCTAAAAAATAAAAGCTTGTTAGATTTGCCACAAACAAATTATGGTAGAATAAGAATAAAAAAGTAGAATTTACTTTTCCAAAAAACATTACTAAAATGATATCGATCTGTTGAATGTCGCTTAAATAAGGAATTTTATATTTTTTTATAGAATTCATTAGAATTTCCTGCCATTCAATAGTATACGAATTGTTTCAAACTACAGACGGAGCTGGACTTAAAAAAAAGTACTCTGAAATATCAATTTCTTTAAATCAAAATCGAGACAAAACATTAAAAAACGGAGAAAATGGGTTCAAGGAACACTCGCTTTTGTTTCATTAGTTTAAGTTATAATCTTTAATAAACTTGTAAAAAAATAAAAGTAATACTAATGCTTACCATTACAAAAAGAGCAAGCATGGCCAGCTGTAAAGAACTTTGAAGAAAATCCAAAAGCATTACAGTTCTCATAGTGTCATTAAATTTGTTGATATACCTACAACACATTGATCTAGTAGGGTATTAAGAATTTAAAATAATGTAAAATAATCTTGAGTGAGGAAAAAAGGAAACGAATACTTCGGTGTGTAAATTTTTTTTAATAAAATTAGGCTGAGCAGTTTTAAGTTTACAAAACCATCATCATACCTTTTCAAAAAATTGTAATGAACAATTGGTACTTTTACAATTTTATGCCATCAAATATTTAAAGTTAACTTGTAACGGTTGAAACCGTTTTCGTTATTTAGACCCAAACATTGTAACGGTCGGAACCGTTTTCGTTATTTTGACACCAACATCTCTACACAAATGTCATTTGTCGTTTATGCCTTCATTGCGTTCGGTCTGCCAAGTTCCTTTAACACTTTTAACTCCAAACGACCCTTTTAGCGTTAGGTTTAGTCCGATTAGTGACAGTTTAACACGCTTAAATGTCATTTAAAAGCACCCTAAAATTTGTCCCGCTCCAGCCCCTGACTGACCGAACTCGCCTATTATGTCTAAAGTTGGTAATTCAGGAAGTTGATTTGAATTTTTAATTATCTTTTATCTTGGACATCCGATGTACTAATTGTCTATTAATATTCTTAATGACCGTCTGATTTTATAAGGTAAGCTTTTATACCGATATATTGTTGAAAATATATATTTTGTACAAGAATTTCTAATTAAAATGTCAAATTTGAAACATAACCTCAACATGAAAACACAAGGGTCACATGTTTTATATAATTTTATCTATTATTTTGTTAAGAGATAATATGCTTAAATAAGATTTTTCCTTTTCATATTAATTTTGGTTTCTGTGAAGCTATTCATTTAATAATTTAAATTGTTAATTTAATAGTAAAAAGCATCTTATCTGTTTCCTATATAAACTCATAGAAATAGTATAGAAAACCGATTCCATATATCAAAAATGAAACCATAAGGAGAAAATAGTGTGTCGGAGCTCATGCGTATAATGGTGCTGGCTCGAACAGGACCGGTGCAAGTTTTTTATTGATCGAACAAATAGTTGGCACGATGTTTCAGTCGTATATTTTTAGAGATGATTCTATATAGAAAACGATGAAAAAAAATCTAAGTTAAGGTAACTATGGTTCTGAAAGTGCTTATTAAAGAAAGACATGGCATAAAATATGAATTAGTTAATTTTCGGCAATCATTAGTACTGTAGTCACGAGATTTTGCTTGTGATTTGACATCTTATTTGATTTATTATCATTTGCTACAACTATGTTGTTTTGAACTACTTAAAACATTTTCAGTCGAACGGCGTACGTGATTCAATTTAAAAATACTTTCCAGAATAAAACAACGTGTTCCGATTTTGACTTCGTTTATTATTAAACACCGAAGTTATATACAAAAACGTTAATCCACAATCTAAATTAGGTACTATCTCAAGAAAATCACTGTTACAATTAATTATTTAACCAAAAACTAAAATAATTTTTAGATACGTAACCAGAAATGGACTGGAACATTTATCCTAATATTGATTTTCTCTCTCCCTACTTAAAGGTAAAACTTAAAGCAATAACAAATTGCCTATCTACTAGGGTCGGTAACTAAACGTATATACAAAATGTGCTGATTTTGTTCATACTTAACATTACACTCGCGCACTGACATTTAACCTGGATTAAATATAGGGAAAAATTTGATATTCGTTCATTATTTTTTGAGTTTTAAGAAATGAATCATGAATAAAATGCGAGAGATACCGGTGATAATCCCTATAAAAGAAAATAAAAACTTGCGTGAAATGACATTCCGGTGACAATCTCCGCGAGTCGCCAGCTTTTTGGGATTTCGCCGGCAAATCGCCAGCGAATCGCTGGCGATACGCCGAAATGAATCTCTGGCGAGTCGCTGGCGATCGACTATGCATACGGCTGTTAGAGTCGTTACTTACAATTAGACAGAAAACCTTTCATGTTTACCATTTTCAATATAAATTAAAAAATACTACTACATTTACTTGGTACATATTTTATTTTAATTTTGAACCCTTTTAAAAGGGTCTTTCGGTTTCATAATAAAAATTAGTCGCTGCTTACTAGAAACATTCTATACAGTCTAAACCAATTTCTGGATTGTTTTCGATCAATTTAATACAAAGATTTAAAGTTTTTAGTCGATGATAACATTCCACATCAGCACATTGCAAACCTATTTTATAAATAATAAGAATAAACTTGTAAATCATTAATTTGGTAGTTATCTCACTTATATGTTTTTTTGTTTATATGTTCCATCGCTATCAGAAATAATAGAAGTGGCATCTCAATTAAAATAAAACGAAAATAACAGAACTGTTAAAATATTTTGGATGAAAAGATCATAACCTGCTTACTATTTTTAACAATTTTTAACAAAAAATCATTCATTGTTTTGTCAGATATCGATAATGTCTTCCCGTCGCTGGGCAGCCTGTATATAAATATACAGCTCTCTATTTACATAATTATAATTCTTAGGTAGGTTTAGATTTTCAGATATAAATCTTGTAATAAATAAAACAGCTGCTTAATACATTGATTACATTTTCATTAGCCAATGTAAAAATGTCTTTTATTGTACCTAGGATTTAACTAAACACTACAAAAAACTAAAAATAAAATGCCACTTTCATCGTGTAATTAAATAATAAACTACAAACGGTCCTGTAAGGGCAGCGTCATAAGTTTTGAAACACCGGATTTTAGTGCTATTGCCAGGTCAATATTGAATTTGTAGGTGAATCGCTTGTTGAACATATTTTTGGGAATGTAATTACACATAAATATTATTAGTTGATTATTTAAATGTTTATAAGTTATTTTGTGGCGATATTTCATAGATATAAACTGTTTAAATCATATAATTTAAAATTATTTTCTGTTAGGTATGTTTAATATACTTGGCAACACTACAGGGACAAATCATGCATATTGCGCAAGCTTCTAGACACACTATTTTGCGATGTCAGGCGCAGAGACGCGTTTTTATGCACAGCAGGTTTCAATTTCTGCTTAAATTTTATATTTATATTGGTCTTCTATACTATTTCTTATATAAACTTCCTAGTTCCTTTCTTGATATTTTTACCTTTTTCCTTGTAGCCTGGCTGTATCTAGATGGTTCTGTAGGAGTTATATCTAAAGAGATTGTTTAGAAGTTTGGAAGAAAGTTCAAGCTGCATGTTTTGATGTTTAAAAGTATAGAAACTTAGAAGTTTAGTTCCAGCTACAGAAGTTTATTTCAAGTATATCAAGAGCTTTAGTTCAAGTCATCTAAAGAAGTTTATGAGATTTAAGATTACCTATGAAGATTTATACTTAAGAGTTGGTGATAACCGAAGTATATCATACGAATCCCCTTGAAGAAGGCCTCTACAAGTATCTCCTTTATTTAACAGATACGTCTGGAAGGTGTCTGCACCAATAATTTTTGAAAAATGCATAATATATTTAAAAAATTATTTATCTTTGGTTGTAAAAAAAAAGAAAGAAAGAAACAGATTTTAAAATGGATTACATATCAATTTTTAATATGTTTACTAATTGAAGTATGTATCTTTCAGACGTAATTTAAACTCGAATCTTTTGTTGTAAAATAGTAGTTTGTGGGTATGAACAACCCACTCGAGTTGTACAGTATGTTTTTTCTACGACCCACTAACGAAAATCGTTAAATTTAAAAAATATATTAGGTTATTAAAACAAAATAACCAATTTTAAAATAATTTATGACTTTAACTAATTTATATAATAAAATAAACATGAAAAAAAGAGATTTAATTTAATTTAATTTAATTTAATTTAATTAGTCCCCATCTCAGATTGGAACCCGGACCTCTCGCGTGGAAAGCAAATGCCGTTGCCTCCACCACCACACTTATAATTTTAGATTTAGTATTCGAAATTAAATTAGTTTGATTAAAATTTAATTCCAAGAAACCTTGTACAGGTATAGGAAAAGTCAAAAGATGGTGTACAATTTTATGAGGTAGAATAGAAAATACCAAGTAATAATTCTGAAACAGATACTATAACTTAAAAAAAATCTAAAACAAACTTATTTGCTAAACAAAATATAATTATAATATTTTATCTACGATTCAAGGAAGTCAGAAACAGTATAAAATGCTTTCCTTGAAAATAAGTTTCCATAAAGTAGGTGTCCCGGGACGTGGCGGTCCCCGGCAATGAGTAGTGGAACTTTAAAATAGTTTTCTGTTTCTGCTTTCCAGCCTCCGGCCGACAGGAAATTTGCATAAGCAGGCCCAGCATATAAAGATTTTCTGACTTGCCTTTTTAGAGGAAACAAAATATTAAAAATTACCTAGGGAGAACGCACATACTCATAGTCCTTTTGATCGATATTATTTTTAATCGTTAAGTGATGTGGAATATTAACAAAAAAAAACATTACAATTGTAAGCAATTACTTTTTGGTTTGTTACTACATCATTATCTACGACTACTGAATGTATAGCATTAGAGTTATTTGTGTTATTATTTGTGTTTTTATTTATAAGAATCCATACGCACTTAGCTAAATTATTGCATATTCTATAATTTTGCATTTTTTGGCGGCTTTTACAACTTTTTTTGTATATTTTTTTATACTTATACTAATGAAAATCAAGTTTCGCGTATTCTTTGGGTTCCGGATATTTTACCTCGAAGTGCCGTTTCCTTTCCAATTAAGGGTTTTGGCAATGGCATAGTAAAAGAATAGGAGTTTCGTCCTCTCAAAGTTTAGCTCATCATGTTATTATTCTTGATGAATCCAAAATATTTCTGATCGGCACATTCGCAATTTCTTTGGGTTCTGGATATTGTACTCCAAAGTTCTCTTTCTCTTTTAAGATTCCGATAATAACAGTATGTAAATAAGAGTTTTGCCCATAACGATAAAAAACTGAACCATTCTAGTGTGATATTCTTTATAAAAGTAGGTGTAATAAATGAATAGAGAACGATCTAAACTTGGCTTTATTCAGCAAATAACTGTACTTATAAAAATGACATATTAATCAGATTATAACAATAACGAATAAACAATCTTCTAAGCGATGCAAGAGTATACATTGCACAACTCGTATACAGTGTGTACATAAAATGGTCATTACAATAGGTTATATTTCCTATTGGTTAACTGCTTCTCAGATAATTGGTTAAAATATTTTATACCTACTTAATTGCTTACCTAAGAATTCTTTGATGTTCTAAAACACATAATCTGATTGTTGCCAAATCAGCACGATCATCGTCACATTTTACTTGATTTTTAATTTTATCTTTATAGTCCTCAAATTTACTCAAGATGTACTGCAAAATGTTAATCTGTCCAATTACGTAATTAATGTAGCTGTAAAAAAATATATCGCTTCCATAGTTACACAAAGAGCAAATTGTAGTGGCTATTTCTTCCCATATAAATATTAACGAGTGGTGTTTATGCGTATCAAATGGACTCCATGAATCTACTGGTAGAGGAATTTGTGAAACTGTTTCGTTTTTGACGGGATCAAACAATATATCTTTGGGGATAAAAAACGGAAATATAATGTATAAATAGGAGACGGTATCTGAAAGTGAATATAAAAATTAATAAAAACTATTTAAAACAATGAATAGTAGTTTGTGCAACAATAGTGGATATGATGGCCATATCGCACGAAGACGCCCTAACAGTAGTACATGACTACATTATCTTTTACTTTTCAAGGGTTTCTTAAGTTTAGGGAACAAATGATGCTAAATCCGGGGAATAGGGCGGATAGTCAGCCAAGTAAAAACAAATTTAATAATTTTCTCGTGTAATCCAATTATCAGGTCAGTATAATATACTTCCGTAATAGTGTTATTGTCTTCAAAATCTCTTAAAAAACTGAAGTCAAAACCTTGCCAGTCGATTTTTTGAACAAGGAATTATTTTAATGTGGAGAACCCAATGAACTGGAGTGGGTAGAAAGTCAATGTGCATATTGTATCAGTAGAACAAGATGCGACTCTATGGGCGCAGCCATTTTTATTGCTCATCTCACTCGGGAGTATTTATAATAACCATTTTCTGTTTCACATTGTTATTTTCCAGTCTACAAACTGGTGGATCAAACAATAACAATGTGAAATAGAAAATGGTTATTATAAATACTCCCGAGTGAGATGAAAAATAACCTGTCTGCGCCCATAGAGTCGCATCCTTAGATCGCATCTTAAACCTATTGACAAACATTCTACCCCACTTCATTTCATTGGGAGAACCAGAATAATTTTGGGTCATACTGATGGACCCACGCTCAGAAATTGTTTTCAAAATGACGATAGTTGTTATTTAACGTTGACAAGAAAAAGCACTTCTGATCAGGATTCAGGTATTTCGAAATTTATTTTGCCAAAAACTTTCTGTTTTTCAAGTCGTGATAAACAACCATATGAAACCAGGGGTGCAGCTAGAGGGAGGCACATAAGAGCAAGAAAAATACCCGTGCTTCTACCTTAAAAATACCCAGTAAGTATTGTATAGTACAGCATAAATACAGCACATGCCCTAAAGTTTCTTTATTTACGGCAATACGTAGCACACGTCAATACTGGCAGAGACAATCCAGCGAGACGTGTAACTCAATGTATTTTTTTTGTTCGGTAAAAGTTATTTGGGCGATTGTAACCACAACCAGTCTATGATGGCGCCACTAGTAAATAGCGGGAAAATTAAAAATGCTTTAGGGCGGGAAATTCAAACATGGATTCAGAAATAAATAGTTTTTCTATACAAATTTACAGGAGAAACAAAAACTATTGTTTCACTGTATATTAAAAAAATATAAAAGCTTCCAATAACATCAAATTTTTTATCACATAAATAATCATTTTAATAAAGGAAGTTTTAATCAGTTTAATATAAACAGTGAACATAGTTTTTATTACTCTTGTAAATTTCGCTAAAAAAAAACTTGAAAATTCTATTGATTATTAAATATTTAAACTTGGAAAAATAATAGACCAAACTCTTTTTCTATAAATTATATTTTTGTAAGGTACAGAAAAACAAACTACAATTGCTTCGTTTAGAAAGTACCTCGTATCATTTTGTGACAAATTACAAAGAAAGTAACAGTTGTTATATATTCATAATATATTTAAAAACTAATGTAACAAATATTTTATAAAGTATAGTATCGATACCTTTTTGCCAGACTATCATAAGTGCCATTTGAACAAATGTCACTTATGTTAGTCTGGCAAGAAGGTATGGATATGTTATGACTGTTTATTTTAATAGAAACCATGGAAACGAAACACACATACACTCAACACAAATGTATAAGGCCCGAGTCAAGTAAGTTCCCATCCTGTAAACTGGATCGAAACCTGCTAGACCCCTGCTAACTCCTCTTATAGTAATCAAGATCAATAGATTTATATGCCATGCCTTCTAAAAGGGAATGAAGGATGACATACTATCATCATTTAAACAGGACGTTGCTGAAGGCTTGCCCCTGTTATTTCGTTTGTTTGTGTATCTTGTGTGTGTGCATTCCTGTTGTGTCCCCAGTCATGTAAAAGTTTTCCTAGTCTCCTAATTTGGTTACTAGGTGGACCTTCTCCAACTAGTAGTCTAATCTATTCGATCTTTCAGAAGCAGGAGGTACTTTTCAAACATAGCAAATAATATTATTAATAATAAACACTATTTAAAGATAAATACATTTTTGTAATTGCCCCTTACCTTTCTCTTACACCACCAGGGTATACCTATTTTCCATATTCCCTTAATTATAGATTATCTTACAATGTTCGAATGAATATACATGAAAAATCTAATTTCATATTTAACTCTTTTTCAATTTCATTTGAAACAATAATTGGTACCTATATTACAATTTATTATCAAAGAAAATTTCTAATAGTTATAGCAAATCCTACTTAAACTACTGGTTGTTCTGCAGGATAAATTAACTTTTCTTGAGATTGATCTCTCTATAAAATCCAAAACCGACCTGATGTCCCCAAATTTATTTTCCAATGCATCCCGATTTAAAATTCTGCCCTTTTGTGATTCAATTTTTTTTTCTTCCTTTAGAGTGGCTGTTAGAGGTAGGTGTATGTAAGAAATAGCTAATCTCTAATCATTTCAAAATTCTTTTGCCAATACTACATGTGCAGATTTTTTACTCAGCATACATTTTACTTTTCTAGTAGATAGGAACTTTATGCTGCCATTAAAGCTGTCCGGACATTCATCTACCTACTTAATGAACACAAGTAGCTGTAACAATGGATCTCTGTTCCAATTCACCTAAAATAATTATAGTCATTGCGTAATATATTATTAAACACACACATTATACAGTGGTTTTCTTAATAAATTGGAAATTACTTACCTCTAGAAAGAAATGTGTACAAAAACGCGAGTTTGGTTCCAGAAATTGCTTCATGCAAAAATAAACATTCCCTTCCAAAGAAAATTAATTAAACAACAAAATCAGACTAAAAGAAATATACGGGGCAAAAAATTAAATTAATTTTAATAAAATGCACATGTTCATAACAACATTCATAACATTGTCAGTTGTCAGTTTTAATACTTTTAATCGATATTTCGACGTCAAAAAACCAGCAACACCAGCGCCCTCTGAAAATGGTGTTAGTTTTATTGGAGAGAGATAGACATATGTAAAGATCAATGTAAAAGAAAAAGAGGGTCATATATGTAATTTAAATGGACCACCGAACATATTTTCCTATTAAGTTACACGTCTTTGTTGTCTCTGATACTGGCAACTTGCCATGTTTACACTGTTTATTCCACTACCTACTATTATTGTTCTCCTGCACTTCGATCCCTCAATAATCATTACCAATCGTTATCAGCCACATTCATGTGTCTTGCACGTGCATTCGTATCCTTTCTTGCTTTGTAATCTTTTATTTATCTAACAACTATTGAGTAAATTAAAATAGTTTATGTACATAAGAGCTGTATTCAAAAAAAGCGACATGATAAGGAAGTTGAACAAGAACAAATTCATTCCTCAAAACAGTTAGATGCAGAATATCTAACAGATAGATCTTTTACAATCTGTAGAAGTCTTGATAATGATATATGAGCCATTTTCGACTAGTCCGGTCTTGCTCTAACCCCTTAAATCCCTTTCTGCCTTATTTGGAACTTCTACGGTCTCTATTTTTTCGTTATCAAGAATAAAAGAGAAAGAAGAGGAAAATAAATTTGGCCAACTGTTTAACATGATAAAAAGCCTTATTGACAAATGTTGGAATACGCTAGTTTAGTGATGATATAATTATAGGTCCATTGACAATTAAAGTGACAGTAGATTTTTTAAGTGCGTTTTGTTTATATAAATTATATCGTTTTCTTCACTTAAATAAATATATTCCTAAAGTAAGTAGATAACATGCATCAAACATACAATCGATTAGTTACCAATTACATACTTTTAAACTATTTTTTGTGACCTGTAAATAATATTTAGAAATTAAAAACAGTATAAACGTATATGTCAAATTTATTGATGTTTTTGTTAAAAGTTTGGATAGAATTAAATGCCAGTGGAACCAAAATGACATCACACTACACTAGCGCATTGGGGTGAAATTGAAAATGTACGTAGTTCTCGCAAACGGCCTACGATCACTATAAATCGAAAAACCGTGCCAGCAGCTTTTCTATACAGCTGTACAGGAAGATACAATGGTACTTGGTAGCAGTTAAACCATTAGAATAGCAAGAAACTAGAAAAGAAGGAATGCTTTTCATGATAGAACCTTAGAACCACGATGAAGGAGTTGGTTTAGGAATTCTGATCAGAAAGGGGTTGATCACGTCTTCGAAAGAAGTTGCATTACGAAGAACAACGGTAGATAACGATGAGTAGGCCCCTACCAAAAAAGAATATGGAAAAAGTGAAATCGTCAACCTACTGGACAAGAAGTATGAAAATTCTCCCCAGTAGTTAAGTTGTATTTGGTTTTTTTATCCTGTAAGCTGGAAGAAGCCAATGCTGAAAATGAGAATGGTTCTTAAAATAGAAAGTTGGTTATTTCAAAGACTAGAGTAGCCGAAGTACTTCATCAGTTACACGACAGTCTATCAGGAGGACATTTCATTCGTGAAAGATTTTATTAAATGAACGTTTTGATGATGTAAAGGACTGATGTAAGAAACTATATCTGCGCTGTGAGCAATGGACCTCATCGGAAAAGGAAATATCCCATGAAAATACAACGTCGGTAGCCCATTTAAGAGGGTTGTTTTAGATATTGATGGACCATTATCTATGAGCGAGAATGGTAATAAATACATGATGGTGGTAATGGATTATTTCACGAAGTGGATGGAAGTCTACACCATTTCAAATCAAGAGGCCACAAAAGTATTGCAGACCTGTTGATAAAGAAGTTTCTCAGTCGATTTGGAATGCAGTTGGAGATCCTCAGTGACCAATACAGAAATGTTGACCGACTAGGTATGAATAAAACCAGAACCACAGCGTTGCGCATCCACAGTCGAATGGAATAGTAGAGCGAATAAACAAATATTGGCAAATACTTGTCAAAAGTGATATTCAACCAACAGCAAGATTGGGATCAGTACCTTCCACAAATGATATTAAGATGGTGACAATATGGAGCACGTGATAATCCTTCTTCATATGCGTAGCAACTCTTCTCTCTACTACATCCATGGTAAACACAAAGTTAGAGCTTCTGCACGAGTGAGCTTTGAATCAAATGTTAATTCAGATAAATAAAAGGCACACGAAGAATATAATACCAATTTTAAAAGTCCTTAATTATCTTATATACCCTAGTGTAGCTACTTTATAGTTTAATAGTACTTACCAATATAATGTAACATCATATAGAAATAATTTAGTGATACATTTTTCTTCACACATGTATTATAAATACCGATAATTCCATCATCTTTGGACCTATAAATAATATCTTCCTTCGCAATAATTTCTTTTATCAATTCTTTTGCTTTATCAGTTTTAACAGAGTATACTCTTAAAAAACCAATTGTAAAAGCTGTACCTATAGTACAGAGTTTCGTAACGACGACAATGTCAAAATGTGTAAAGCATGTAACCAATATTTTCATGTAGTTAGTTAATACGAACAGCGAAGCTAAACTAAACACAAACCAAGAGTAAGTGTTGTAAACTTTATTTAGAAACGAATTTTTTTCAAAAACAATTGGCCATACGCCACATAGAAGGTTGCAGTATATGACTATCTTGAAGTGGGCAATTTTCGGAACAACCTAAAATTCAAAACGAAATTTTACTTTTTGATCAATACCTACTAGAGTACGAGGTTCCGTGCATGATTACAAAGAGCCAAATAATATTTACTGTTTGTTAAAAAAACAAATACGTCGTTTCCAGTACTTCAAGAAGCATTATTTATTTAAAAAATATTGTATGAACTCATTATAGATTTAGTAATCAATAAAAACAAAATCTAAAGGCGAAGTTCGATAGACTAAGAAACAACTGTCGATTTCAAGCAAAATTTTGTTTGTGTTTTTGTTTGTATTTGTGTTTCAAAACACAGATGCAAGTGTGTCCATTTGGTAAATAAGTAATGGTTGTGTATTTTAGTCTCAGGAATTGCAGACTGTAGCTAAGATGATGCTACTGAACCAGCATAAGAAGAGCTCTGAATAAAAACTCATAGCAGGTCAGGCGGCAGTGGGGATTGAACCCACTATCTTTCGAATGCGAGGCAGATGCGTTGCCGCTCGGTATGTTTGGTGGAAATCCACTTTTATGTACTTATTTCTCAAATGGAGGGTTTTTCTCGGAATAAAATAAATAATATCTATATTATAATAATATTATAGAAAATAACTTAATTTACCTACCTGCATTTTTAAAATAATAATTAAATATTCTAGTATTTCTTAGAAAGGTTGTTCTAGGTTTGAGTATATCAGGCATATGAAAGATAATAAATATACCGAAATTGACCATTATTAACCTAACATACTAATTTCAAACTATCCCTATCATTCCCAATACAATTATGTTAATTTGGGCAGATAACGAAAAAAAATAAGTTTAATCTTTTGTTTTCCATTAGGTATTTAAATTACTTTGTAACAAAAAATATATATTTTTTTATAGGAAGGAAAGCACTAAATTTCTTGTACAGTGTTTTTCAAAAAGGTGAAGAGATAGCTTAACTATAGATTCCAGAGATAAAAATATCATGATTAGACCCAAATTACCATTATCCAAGATCGTAAGTCGGTATTAGGGAAGAAAGTTTTTTGAAAACAAAAAAAAACAAGGTTGCGCATAAAAAAGAGTATATCTTCACATTTGCAAAATTGTACACATCGAGAAGAAGAATTGTATGAGCTAAAATAATTTTAAAATTATCCAAATAATCACGGTCACTTTATTCCGTTTTTTACTGTTATCTCTGGTTTTTTAGTAATTTGATTACGTTCGTGAATGCTGGTGAATATTCGTGAGTTGTGGAAATTTTAATAAGTTGGTTTGGTAGTACTATGACGAAAGAGTAACGTCATTAATGACGTGCAACAGTTTTTGTATTAGAAAGCCTATACAAAAATATTTCTAAAGGAAATACCATTATGGAAAAAAGTTTTCAGCGTAAGCTCTAAAAAGCTATCATATTATGAAATTTTTGTGTAATACCTACTACCTTATATCCAGTTCCTACCCACCAGTTGAGAAAAGATCTGGATTAACTACAAATATAGCAATAATTTAAACAATCACTACACCCAAATTCAACCTAATTATAAAATTCCTCACATCTCTAAATTTTAATTGTCCAGGCAATACATACTCTAGTTTTATTAATATAATGTGGTTCAGGTATTGGTAACTGGTATAGCCCGAATTGAAACAATGTTTTAGTTTCAAAGAATTAGCACTCGTGGCACTGTACACACAATTTACAGAAACCTACAATTGATGGTGGAAAGAGTGGTGTCATTTGTCATTGGTCAATGTCAATGGTCAGTGGCATCCATTACTAGTATTTGTAGTGATTAATATCATAATATTGTCAATAATTATTGTTTAATTTTTGTATTTGTGAGTGTCCTGGATCCTGGATAAATAAATAGTAAGTATTTTGTAAATTATTGTTTATTGTATTGTCAACTTAATCTTGTTCAACTGTGTTTTTAATTTTCAATTTGTTTACTTGATCTTGCTGATGACTGTGAGCTTATTTTAAATTTTTGTGGTGAATTTTTGACATATGTCATGTTGTTGTGTGCCACATTGTTTTGTAAACACTCTGAAAAGGCATCGTTTTCCCAAACCCGATCCTAATAATGATTTATTTAAAATTTGGGTACTGGCTGTTCGCAGTCCGTTTTTCAATATTAAAACAACATAACAAATTGGTAAAAACTATTTAGTGTGTGATAAACATTTTGAAGATAATTTTAAAGTTCCTGGTACTTGCAGAGGTCTAACTGTTTTTTTGTTAGTTCTAGTACAAACTTTCTTTAAGCCATTTGGAGTGGCAGTATTACACCGTGGAAGACAAAACAGCCTAGTCAAGGAAGTAATAGCTACTGTACTTTTTGTATTCATGCCTCACTTTACCTGCTGCCTAACACATTTGATTTGTATATTGATTTAGTTCAGATTGTTACTTTTACTGTTTTTTTATTTGTTCTAGTACAAACTTTCTTCAAGCCGTTTGGATTGGCAGTATTGTATTGTGGAAGACAAAATAGTCTAGACAGGGAAGTAATACCTTTTTGATTCATGCCTCACTTTCCGTGCTCCCTAACAGATTTGAAGGGTGCAGAGAAAAAAGGGGCAAGTCACAATTACCAAAATGTTCAGGAAAGCAAATTTAATTTAGACTGACTAAATACAAACTTTTGATACTTTGAGGTAATTGATTACAAAAAGTTACTTTGTATATATGCTGCCTGATTATATTGTAGTTTATCGTTAAAAAAAATGTAATTTTTTAAATCTAAATACTGAAAGTGTCAAACAAATAGTAGAAAAAAATGCTAAGTCCTTAGACATAATTTTAAATGCTATGATTTGCATATGCTAATTTGGCTTACATGGAAACATACTGGTATTTTACAAAATAGTGCGGTATTAGTTCAATTTTGACAAAAATGTGACAGGCGCTTTTTTATACCTGCACCCTTCGTTTGCTTTATAAGTTTATTAATATTTTTTTTGTTCCAGATAAAACTCATCAACCGCTGTGGAAAATGAAGCAACTTGACTTTCCAGCTAATTAACACGCTACATTTAATTACAATTTGTAATTTGTATGTTTGTTTTTTGTTTTAATAAATTAATTTTGTTGATCATGCTTTTTAATTTTTTGTGTTTTAATAAAATATTTAAACTTGAAGTCAAGTTAGGATTGGTTTATACTACTTATTTTTGCTTTATTGTAAGAAATATAATTTTATTGCTACAATAACGTACAAACGGAGTTAGTATGAACAAATCTTAATTTGACTACCACTTTTAAACTGTAAATAGAAAATGGCAATTTTTAATGTTCCCGCGTTTTGTGTTAACTAAAGTGACCGTGAGACGGATTCCTTCCAAATAGTTCAAAGAATTTGCACACGGCGCTACAATACTGTCTCGATTTTTACCATTGCCGTTTCCATTCTAAAAGTGAGTGATGTGGTTGAACGTTGAAATACGGGGGTTTCCATCTCATCTAATGCCACATTTGAGAATCCAAATCGGATCCATTTTTTACATCTCGAGCGTTTTTTTATCCACATCGGACACATCTGTCCCATTACATTTACGTATACTGATTCAATAAAAATTTACTACATCTCAGATGCATCCGATGTGGGTTCCCAAATGCGGCATAAGTATTTAAAATTGGTTTCCACAGATATGGATAGAGGAAATAGGAAGAGGCTATTCTTCCCGGTGTTTCAAAATTACCTTACCGTGCAGGGCTGGTATATCTAAGAGAGTCGCGACATAGACCCAGTAAATGAATGAGGGGGTGATTGAGGCTAGGGGGGAAATAGTAGTCAATTTAAGTTGACAACACTTTTCTGATGTTCGTTTGGCGATCCTCCATATCTATGGGCGAAATCCACAGTTATCGTTTGTCTTGCCGTAATAGTATAATAACGGAGACAGGCCACTTTTAATAATGTCAATATGGTACAAGTGGAATGAACTACTGTTTTCCTCGTAGTAGAATTAAAACTAAAAATATTTTGTGCTTTTTTATATACCAAATAATGCACTTTATTTCCACTTTATTTTAATGTTACATGAATAGGTACATGCATGGAGGAAGGATTGGTACATGCGTTTGTGCTGTGGTAAGAAGTGTCCATGTGAAAATTATCTCTGAAACTGCATTGACTGTAGGTACTCATCTCAAAACTGAATGCTGTAACTGCTGTAAATCCAGGATTTAAATCTTTCATAGTGTTGCTTCGGATTAATTGTGAAAAAGGTGTTGGACAAAACATTTACAACCAAAAATTACATGGACAACATCATAGAAGAAAGAATTTACCTTTATGACATTCGCTTTCAACATTTTTAAGTGACTAAGTTTGTGGTTTGGCGAATGGATTCTGTTACCACAGTCAAAAAAGTGACTAAGTTCTAATAATAAACTTGAAATAGGTACTGTGAATTAGTAATCACTTTTATATATAGACTTTGCCACTAGAAGTAAAAACAAAAAGATGTGTGGTTGAGACTAGTTTATGTATTTAATAAGAATATATAGTTTTATTTAAATAAAAAACAGGCCGGTGTTATTTGAAATTAGTTTAATGATGTTTATAAATTGTGAGTACCTTTGATCAAAATCTTACTTAATAGATACTATAAAATGCATATGCATTTCTATATTGTTAATATTAAAGTAGAAGCCCAAAAGTTATGATTAAAAATATATCTGATTAAAAATATATTTTTAAATGTAATATTCACTATAGACATGCTAATTTGGGTAATTTCCTATTCGAAGCCATACATGTTTCCTATTATAGTTTTCATATGTTTATAATTCTGAAGATACTGAAATATTTTGCTTGATTACTAAACTTTGGTTGTTCTTGTTGTGGTCTGATGTTAACACTATTGCCCTGAAATATTAAAAAGCTAGAAAAAAGTTTGTTCATCTCTTTTGTCACCTTTGTTTAATATTCTCGTCTCATCGACGTTGTAGATGTCGCTAGGTGACATATTATGCTTTTCATAAATGGACTCTAGTAAGTCATAGAACTTCCCTACGGCAACTCTATTGGGCGCTTTTGCGCGCGCATCCATTTCTTTCCTGCCATTTTTCTTTTACTGTTGAAAGCATGTGGAATACCGCTTTTTTTCGGCAATCTCAAATGCTAATTTGCGCAGATCATGTAGCGTTAAGCCATAGATTAACCACAACAGATGCGAAACCCGGCAAAAGATCAAAGAATTTTGAAATGAGATTTCTATGATCTTGAACTTTCAATGGGTATGGCATAGGTGTTGCCAATTTTAATTATTTTCAATCAGTCTTACAATATGACTTTCGTCTAAACATGCGTTTTGGATGTCAGGGTTTGTTTAGGTAATTAAAGGTTTAATGTATAGTAGCAGCACGAGTATGTTAAAAAAGTTGTCGATAGGAGTCTCATTTTTAAACATTTTAAAAGAAAAGGAATATGATTTGTATTAATATTTTCAAAATTGTATTATAGGTAAAAAGTTATAACAAGCAACGAATTATAGCGTAAAGGTATTAAAAATTTGTTAATCGGGCTTAGCCATCAAATCCAGTTAATAGATCCCATTTTCCCTTTAATGTGTTGAAATAAATATATTGGCAATTAATGGCCTATTGATGGAAAGTTAACGAGAAATTGCAGGCATTTTACCATATTAATACTGACTGCTGCATGCCAGGTACAATTCGATAGTGCCTCTTTGACCAGCAGAACTAAATATAAAACCGAATGCATTTCACTTTACCTAGAATATTATAGACATTTTATTTATTTCAGCTATATAATATAAAAAAGAGATAAAATGTCTCCTATAAAATGTATATTCATGAAACATTCTAAATTAACAACATGTATGAGTAAGAAATTACAAAGAATAGTGAATACCAGCATACCAGCAATCCGAAACTAGTCTCATGTCCACTCGTTGAGTATGTAGCAAGTGATCATCAGTGTCTCCATCTATGAACGCGGGAAGAAACCCTCCTGCATAGTAAGAAAAAACATGGCGTCAACAAAACTTACGTAGAAATCACTAATATATTAAAACACGCCTTATACACTATTAGTGACAATGGTTTACTTACCTAAACGTTTCCGACGAAAATAAATGAATATACACACAAAGGATGCTGACTCAAATTTTCAAAATTTACTGTTAAAAAATAAAAAAGCCTGTGGAAGTTCAACGAACAGCTGATTCGATATCAAAACAGTTTCCACTATTAGGTATTCCAAACGAAATGGCTACCAGTGGGTTTTGACAGGTTATGATATGGCAAAAAAAATTATGACAACCCTGTAGGCTTGGTGAAACACATTTTTGCAAAATAGATTCTGATTAATGAGCACTTGCGAGGCAATATAGTCGCTTGCAAACGACTCGCTTTGAGCAATCTATATAACTATACCGGGTGTTCAAATTAAAGTGTTACAGTTAAATACCTCCGAAAATATGCATTTTAGAAAAAAGTTTCAGACAAAAGTTTTATAGTTTTTTGGGGGAAACATTTTGACTAAATTTATTTTTTATACCTGACCATAATATGGCCATATCGAGATGGAATTTGTTTTTTTAAATTTGAACCCCATTTTATGTTTACATATTCTTAAAGTACATAAAAAAATAAGAAACTTTTGAGGGAACTATTTTTTTATTGGACTTTTTGAGTAACAGCTACTTGAAAATTTTGCTAGGCGAAAAAAAAGTTGGCCATATTTTGGTTAGCTATAAAAAACGATTTTAGCCAAAATTCTTTCCCCACAAAACTATAAAACTTTTGTTTTTCTATAAAAGGTGATATATAGCTGTAACACTTTAATTTGAACACCCGGTATATGTATCATTGACCCTGAAATTACAACAGGCTTACAGAGTTGCCATGTGTAAATGTTAGTTCCCACTTGTCAGCAGTTTGACAGGTCGTTGGAATGCCTAATTATTAGGCGTGTTCTTTTATTCCGCGCTGTATCTAGCGCTTGCAGCAATCCCTTTGTAAATTAAGCGATGTAAAGACGATTGTATCTGTCAATCGTTCTTTTTTCCAGCGGTGATTTCATCAATGAGCAAACGCATCCATCGGCTTTAAAATTCGATGGGTGAAGGGAGGGGATAGTTAATCAATTTGTTTGAACGTGTGAACACGATTATTTAGATAAAAGTTAACCTACAATATAAGAGTTTAAATATAAAACGGCTACAGAAGCGATAAATTACTGTTAATTTAAATTAAAACGGGTTTAATTTTTAAAGCGATGTCAAACGTCAAATTTTTCATTTGAGAAATGTCGTTCGTTCTTATATTCAGCGCAAATACCTTCCACCAAAAATTAATCAGTGACCTCATGACATTAATCACTGATGGAACAAGTGTTGAATAAAAGAACACACCTGTAGTGGCGTAGATTCGAGTAGTACACGTGATCACAGCTAGATGGCAGCGCACAAAAGCGATTTTACGCGACGTCCCGGTTTGACCCGCCGTCCCGGTTTTGTCCTATACCGTTTTCCTGGAGTCAGGCTAGAAAAGTTAAAATATTGTTTCTTATGTTGAAACAAAATTGATTAAATGTTCTGCTTGTCAGGTTTCACTATCTAGCGCAACAGCTAAAGAAAATGATTGAAAATTATTTTTTAGGAAAAAATGGGGTAATTTAACAGTAAAAGTACTAGATTTTAATCATTTAATATTTGCAAGAATCCCAACCAATATAGAAATAATTTACTTTTTACTCGTCTAAAAATTAAAATAAATGATTTTTTAAATGTTCTCAAATGGGTTTGTTTGCATTCATCAATGCAAATTAATGAATTACCTTTATTTATGATTGTTAATTCATGCTAACATTTGACATTCTCTCGTCGCACAATAAATGGTCCTACAAATTTCTTCTTCTTCAATCAATTTGTCTATTTTTCCTAACTATTAATAAAATCATTAAAAATAAAAAGCAAGTAGGTACCTACCTACTGATTGCAGCTAAAAGCCTTTATGAAGGGGAATAAAAATGTTGAGAGGCAGGCACCAGGTCCAGAAATATCTTTTCTATGATGACTCCACATAAACACTCTTCAAAAAGACTTTTAGCTGTATTCAGCACCAGACTTTTCCTTAATTATTTTTTTACAAGTGTGTTCGTTTTAAGTTTAATTTGTATTATTAGACAGTTTCATCTCTATTATCGGTTCACATCTATTTACCGAAGGTAGATATTTAAAAAATGTTTGATGGTCCTTTTGACCTTAATCTATATACTTGGGACTATGTTCCTTTTTTGTTAAGATATAAGCTTTTAATACAGATAAACCATTCTTATTATTCATATTAGGCTCTTGGGCCAAAAACCAGTATCCTTCATTTGCCTTTATTTTCATTTATAAAAATGGCCACATTCGAGCAGTTTGAATAATCTCTACGATTTAGAAAAAGTTTATCAAAAATGACGAAGCCATCAGAAAGTAAAATTATGTTTAAAAATGATGCTTTCTGATAATTCTTGTTCAAATATTTATAACTGCATAGATATGACCTGAATTTAAAATAAGCTACTATATGAAAATCAAAAGTAAGATGTTGTTAATTAAAAATGTAAAGAGAGAAATTTCAATTCTTTAACAATATGTATATATAAGGAAGATATTTTTGCTAAAGGAAGATCTTAGTGCGAAATACATAATGCGGACGTTTAGTGTTATTATTTTTTTATTTTTAAAAATAAGTTTTAGTCTTTGTGCTAATCCAGGACATAAATTGTGTCACCATCATCATAAATTATATTACTGTAAGTTTATTTTCCTTCTTGATAGTTTAATTTATACTCAATATATCAAAATATACAAGATGGACTACCAGGATCTCCATTGATCGATATCTCAAAAACTGGATGAGGTACAAATTTGAAAATTTGGAAACTTTTGGGGATACATCCTATATATTATTATTACATTTTTGGATTCTACTCACTATTCTAGTCAGATCTTATATATCATGTCCAATATCTATGTGAAAAAATTAATTTTTTGGCAGTTTTCTCAATCTCATTTTAAACCATATTTTTGAACACCCTGTATGATTAGTTATCCAACATGAAAATATTTTAGCTAAATAGGCCCCAAGATATTTAGCTAGTTCCCAAATTTTTTCTACATCCAGTTTCTGAGATATCGATCGATGCAGTTCCTGGTGATCCACCCTATATAGTCAAATTTTAATTGTTTGATTTTTTATTTAAAAGTGAATTTAATATTTATACCTTGTATAATTTTTTCTCATTACTAGGCTTTTAATTGGTACTACCAAAAAAATTGAAAAACTAGAAATTACCTAATACCTCGATAGTGATGACATCAAAAAAAAATGTAATTATGTGAGAAAATATCCATCTAAAAAAAAAAAAAATATTATCCACTTATCCAATAACACCATAAATCTGTTGTTCCCCCAATCATGCCCAATTCAGTATAATATATATATTTATTTTTTTTCAGTACATCATCTCCATTATTTAGTTTTTTTTGCACTAAAGTTTAAAGCAATTTTGGTAATAGCATCACTTTGGGCCGCTGTAGCTATCATAGGAAAAATTATTGCCGCCTTCAAGGTTGCCGAATACATGAAAAGTAAGTACTAATATTTCGTTCTAAATGAGAAGAAAGTGATACATTTTTCACTTTTTGTTATCACTTTTACTTTCCGTTTTAGAAATAATATATTGCTAGATTCTACAGTAATTCTAAAATGCTTACTATTTTTTTTATAATTTCCAGAAGACAATCATCCAGTGGCATACTCTACCCCGCCACATGATTATCATCACTACTTAGATAAAAGTTTTGAATCATCACCCTATTTTGCTTCACCCATGAGAGGAATATTTAAACAATCATCTAATAAGATATACGATTCACCCTCATCTAGCAATTATAATTATATGGACTCATATAAGACACTGCCAGTGGGTACAGGAAGAAGTCATTTGTCAACCAATAATACGCCTTTGGAAAATTTAAAGTTCTTTTTTAAAGCAATCAAAAGGTACGTAATAGAATTAATAAAAACACACAAAACTAATTTTAGCGAATATTCAAAAATAAAAGTTTTAACCAATAGTATTTATTTACAGAATGAATCTTACAGAAGTAGTTTTCAAAGAAATGAAACTAGAAACTTCTGCTTGTAAAAGAAAATTTGTTTGTGAAGCTGATTTCAACATTAAGCAAAGTACCATGTTAAAAACAATCTTTAACGTATTTATGTAAGTTTATACCAGTACTTTTCCTAATATTCATAATGCTAATTTTTCATTTCCTCTAATAACGGGAAGATAAATAGGTACATATTGTCTGATCTAGGTATCTAGTTTGACATTTTACAATTATTTTCTAACTTTTTTAAATTATCCTAACTTTCACTAGATTTTTCCAAATCATAGTAAAGCGGGTGACGGAAAACAAATCGAAACGTCTAAATTATTGTAAATTATTGCAAAAATATTTCGTAATACAAGAGTACCTAAATGTTAAAAATGCACAGTTAAAACAAAATTAAAATAAAATAACTTAGCTAGAATTGAACCAGATACACAAAATTTATTGTTACCCCAGAAGTTCTCGACACGAACAAATACGTCTCCAACATAAGCGGCTTGACATTTACGCCCCATCTTGTCATAGGACAATATCCTATATCTATGACATTATCCTCAACCCTCTGATTTTGAACGAAAACAGCTGTTTCTGGTTTAAGACAGCATCTTTAAACGTAATGAATAACACATATTTTAGCTTCGTACCATAACTACATCTAAAAGACCCGCATTTATACAACTTCCATGCAACATAGCTTTTGTTTAAAAAGCCACTAATATACCCATCTATCTATCTAAATTAGGGCATGGTTTAAAGCCCACTTGTACTGAAGCTTTAGGCTTATTGTACCCCTCTCAGTTTCTACCCCATCAGATTGATTTTCTTAATGAATTCAAGAATATGTCTAATGGGCGCTTTCGCGATTTCTTCAGGTTCAAGATATTGTACCCTGAAGTACCATTCCCATTTAAGATTCCGACAGTAGTATAGTATGTGAATAGGTGTTTCGTCCTCCTCTTCCTGAAGTCGTGAATAATGGGCGTTTTATCCGATGGCATTCTTAGTACCGGATTTTGTTTTAATTTCTCTAATATCATTTTGTAGTGTACTTTTCTCGAAAGTTCCCATCTAAATAGTAAACAGCCTCTATGCCGCCGCCATAGCTTCCTTCTCCACCACAAGGTGTAGTGGAAGAAGACTTAGCAGTAACTCCATTGCTGCTGTGAGCGTAGTTCTAAATACCCCTGTTATTATTAGACAGGCTAGTATTTGTACCTTGTCTAATTTTCTGTTAGCTGTTATGCTTTTAATCTTGTGCCACCATATGACTGATTAGTAAGTTATAACAGGTATTACAATCATAGTGTAAAGCCAGTGCATCATACTTGGTTTAAGTCCTCATATGTTCCCTACCATCCGTCTACAGGCCCACAGTATTCTTACAGCTTTTTCTGTTGTTTTTTTTATATGGCTGCAGAAGCTAAGCTTGTCATCAAGAGTGATTCCAAGATATTTAACCTCTTTTGCCATTTTTAGATGTTGTCCCCACATATAAAGCTCCTTCATTCCTTGAAGGTTACTTTTTCTTGTGAATACAACAACAGAGGTTCTTGTCGGGTTTGTAGAAAATCCCTCTTTTATGCACCATCTTTCAAAGCTATTTAGTACCCGCTGCATCTGTTCGGACACAACAGACCCAAATTTACCGTTTACTACGAGGCTTATGTCGTCTGTAAATGTTTGCGTGAATAAGTTTTCTATCTCTAACTCTCATAAGAGGTCGTCAATCAGCAAGATCCACATAAGAGGAGATAACACTTCTCCCTGCGGGTATCCCTTGTTGACTGAGACCTCTCTTGTTATGTTAAGGAGATTAATAGTAATGGTTCTATGATTAAGAATGAACTCAACCCACTTCGTAATGCTGTGGACTACTCCACGCTTGTGCATAGATTCCAGTATTGAATTGTATAAAGCCGAATCCCTTCTATATCTAGGAAGACTCCTAGTGCTATTTCTTTGCTTTCCAATGCTTGTTGAGCCTGTTGAGCTAGCCTATGTATGGCTGCATCGCAAGACTTTTCAGATTGGTAGGCAAACTGGTATCGATGTATCGGTTTATCCCCTAGAACATCGTCCCGTATATATCCATTGATCAATTTCTCTGTTTTTAGGAGAAATGATGTTAGGCTGATTGGTCTGAAAGATTTTGTCTCGTCGTAAGACGCTTTCCCGGGTTTGGGAATGTAGACAACTCTTGCACACCTCCAGCTTTGTGGAACATATTCGAGGGCTATGCTAGCTCGGAATAGTTTACACAGTGGTCCCTCTAGTACTTCCTGTCCCGTTTGTAGAAGTGCCGGGATTATACCATTAAGTCTAGCTGTTTTGTATGGTTGAAAGGAATTTATCGCCCACACAAGTTTTGTTCTATTTACTATTGAGTTTGAAAGAGATCAGTTTGTTTTTGAGGCCCTAGAAATTCCTCGATACTCCTGTTCTCTTGGTCAAGAATAATCTCACATCCAGGAAAGTGTGACTTTAGTAGTAAATTTAAAGTCTCCTTCTCTGTTTTTGTGAGTTCTCCTTGTTGATTTTTCAGAAATCCCATGCATCCTTGCTTATCTCTCTGTAGAGTTTTCCTGAATCTGGAACATTCCAGAAGGCTTTCAATGTCGTCACAGAATTTCTTCATGGAATTTTCTTTGGCTTCCCTAATGGCATATACCCATAATGATCATATAATTTAATTAATAGTCTCTAATACATGCTTCACGAAACGTTGCCAGTCATCTTGATAAATTTGTTACAATTTGTTGCAACTAGTATTTCTTTCAAATATTGACTTCCACGTCCTGATTATTTATAAACCATAAATGAGTCGAATATCCTACCCACGCTTTCGGTTCTTGGTCCAAGAAATAAACCATTTTTAACTCGTTAAAGAGTGTTAATTTTAATATTTAATTTAAATATTTCTGTCTTTTCGTTCTCTATTTTCTATTATGTTCATTATTTCATAGATCTGTTTTCAGTTTTGGCGCGAAATATTTGTATTTTCGAGGAAACTACGTTCAACATAGGGCGGTAGAGAGAACAAAAGCTAGATATCTTACTGAAAAACACATACAGAGTTCTTAATCCTAATCTTATATCGCCACATGTGGATGTTAAAGAGTTTGAGGCTTTTTTTAGATAAATTTCCTAGATAACTATTTTTTTTTGAGTGTTTTAAAAAAAGTTTCTTTTGTCTTGGTTAGCTAATTAGCAAAAAAGTTGAAAGTTAATTAACTACACATACAGAAAGTATTTTAACTAAGAAGCAGGTATATTGAGGACTTATAGGGCCACTCCCCAGATAGCACACAGTCCAATGGACGTCCACTTTAGATCCATTTGGGACATCCAATGTACGTCCGTTTATGATCATTAATTTGACAGTTGCATATCGATATCCAGAGAACGTCTGTTTTTGGACTTAATTTTAAGTTTGGTATTATTTTGACATCCAGCGGACGTTCATCTTAGGTCATTATTTGTTTAGCCTACCAGATAATGCCCATCTATGTACACTTCCTTTTTTTAATAGAATTGGTCATTCAAAATTGACAAATTGAATCTATTACATTTCATTCTATCAGCGGAAATTTGATGGCTGCTTGGTCAAGGACGCCTAGCGCTTTAAAGCCTAGAATGATCATGGACGTGTCGTGAGTTCGATCCCTGCTTAGGTCTAGTGATTTTTAATAAAAAAAAATCAATTAATGGTGTATAGCGGGTTGCGAAAATAATACATTAATTATTAATAATATAAAATAGGGTGTGGTGAGTTGCGGTTGTGTAAAAAAGTGGGGATGTGGTCTCAATAGAATATAATCCGGGAATGGACGTTTTTTGAATGTCCAGTATTTAACATCCAAATATAATCCAGAATTGGACGTCTTATGAATGGTCAAAAGTATACCATTTGTATACTTTACTGGATGTTTCTTGGCGTCCAGACATCCAAAATTTTATATAGAATGGACGTCCAATGGACCTATTTGTGCTGTTTGGGTCCCCTGTGTTTAATGCTTGTAAAAAACCATCTCATCTGCTTTTAAATGTAGCATGTTCCTTGCAGAATGATATTCTAAAATCTTACAATTAGCCTTTAATTTCAGTTTAGGTTCATTCCCTTTTTCTGATGATTTTTGTTTGTAAATATTGTGTTTACAAACACCAACACTACAGCTCGCTCCAGGCATGCTAAAATTTCAAATTATTTCAGGGTAACAAAATGTGATTCGAGTTCGGCTCAGAGGCCTTACCCTAACCCAAAATGTTTCAAATAAACCATTCACACAATAATATTTCTCTTCATAATTCAAATAAAAAATAATTAATTTGAATTTTTATGGAAATCATTACATGATTTTTCATTGCTGTTTATAGCTTATCTTTCAAAAAATTAAACTATTCATATTATAAAATCTCTAACACTGGAAAATAGACGAAAAATAAAAATATAAACACCAAATATTAATAAAATATTAGATTTTTTAAAAACTAATTTACGAACCGCAGCAGAATATTTTCTGTAACCTATATTTTTCATTCTGTGACGTCACAATTTCGTCCCTAGCAACCGGACGAGGCCACAGTATTGTCTATGAACCATAAGTCCAATTATTAGTTTTATTTTTGAGCTGCCTGCCTGCCGCTATTCTTAGATTCCGACAGCCTAGATCAGTGCTCCGCAACCGGTGTGCCGCGGCACACTGGTGTGCCGTAAGCCGACTTGAGGTGTGCCGCTCTTGCAGACAATACGAATCAGATTCGTATTGTAGCAAGACCCGCGAAAAATAAAGCAATCTGACAACAGCGCCGATGGTAAACGTCTATCCGTCTATCGGCGCGGCGCGGCGGCTTGATTCTCGAAGGCGACTAAACTAGAAAGATCCGTGCCGTTCGAGGCGCGACTCGATGTTTTCCTGAACATCGCCACTGCCTATATAAGCGCGCCTGTCGTCGCTCAGAGACTCAGAAAGAGTCGAATAGTCAAGTGAATCAGATAAATACGCGGGCAAATAAATAAATCGTAGAGTGAAATAAATAGTGAATTGCTATATAAATAAATTCTTGTGCCTTATAAATAAGTGAACTGGACTAAGTTTTGTTGCAGTATCTAC